GGCAGGCGGCAGGCGGGAATCGAACTCATGCGGAAGTGGCTTCAGATTCTCAGTGCTGTGCTTTAACCCGCTGCGCCACCAGGGAGGGCCCATACCACTTATTTTAACTTATCAAAGTTAGTAGGCTATCTTAAAAGTGCAAAGTAGATTATGAGAAGTCTAGCTGAAAAGGAAGTTCATTTGGAAAATATTTTCAGTTATTTTTTGAGTAACAATGTTGGCCTATTTAACACATTTGTAAAACATCCTTAGAGAATTAAACTGGAAGATTTTAGGGGAAACCATCCCAACATTTCAAGTTGATCCAAATGTCCTAAATGAGGTTACTGCTGTAACAAAAAAAAAAAAAACTGCTGGAGCCACTGTGTCTCACATATGCTCTGTGTGCTCAGCAACGCCACTATCACCAAAGAGTGTCACTATCATCAAAGAACTTGTTATAAAATCATTCTTAGGGCCTCCCTGGTGGCCTAGGGCAAAAGTCTCAGCATTACCACCATATTGCTAGCCTCTGCAGCATGAGTTCAATCCCCCAGCCCAGGAGCTGGCCCACATGACGCAGCAGATCTCTCCTGTCCCACCTGCTGTTCCCCTCAGCAGTGTATTTCAGTTGGTCTGCCTGTTCTGATCCCCACTCTGTTTCTGGTGAATCCTCTTAGCCCCCACACCTCTGACCTGCACTTCAGTTCTTGTATACATTAATAAATAAAAAAATAAAATATTTTCGGGCCTCACCCTAAACCTTCTGAAGGAGAAACTTTTCTGGTAGGGCAGGCAGTATGTATTTTAACAAATCTTCCAGGGGATACGGAAGCTCAAGTTTGAGATGTAGGGTACTAGGTGTTCCCAACATTGTTGCAACAAATTAATGAGACCTTATTAATAAAATCAGTTGGAATTAGATGAAATAAATTTAGAGATTTTTGTTGTTCCTCCTCTTCTCCCTTGGTATCAGAATTCTTTTGGCTTCATGTCACTGGGGGATGTTACCTCTTTTTCTAGTCTTTGGAAGAAATTGTTGCTATTATGTCTCAGTAATCTTGTAGATTTCACTGACATTTTGGACATAATTTTTCTTCATGGGAAGGTTTTTAAAATATAGATTCAATTCCTTTAATAGTTACAAGACTGTTCCAATTTTCTATTATATTTTGTGTCCATTTAAGTGAATTTTTTTCTAGAAGGCATTCTATTGAATGCCTTCAAATATTGAGGCAATAAATAGTGCATTATATCCTTTTATGATCTTCTTACTGCTCAAGAATCTGAAAAGATGTTCCTTTTCCAAATTTTTGAGTTTTTTTAATTCTCTTCTTTTTTCCTTCATGGATCTGTTATAGTTGATTTCTTTCTAGGATTGCAGTACAACTGTCACCTGGGACTTCTTTTCCTTGTACTACAGTTTAAAAAAAACACACAGAAAATAATGGTTACATAAGATGTCTGTACTATCCTTATAACTCTTCTGTAAATATAAGACTATTTCAAATAAAAACTTTTTTAACATTAAAATTTGAATTTAATCATTCACTAATTCATCAAGTGCAGAAGGTCTTTGGGTTATTTGTAAGGCTTGAATTTTCCAGAGATTTCAATTCTGTCACTGTGAGGAGTTACCAAAGAATTATAGTAAGCAGAGGCAGTCACTTTCATTTAGATTTTTCTTTCCTTTTAAAAGACTTTTTTTGGGGGATTGTTTCCAAAGAGGAATTTAAAAAAGGGAATCGAGTCTTTGCTACTTTATTGGAATAATTATACAATTCAAGGAAACAAGACTTTGAATGTGTTTTGAACCCAGTGTTAAAAGGGGAAAAAAAGTAATCTGATTGTTTTATTCTCATATCAGATACAATCTATATAGGAAGGAAAAAAACCACTAGAACTATAATTGTCAGGATATATGCAATTTACTTTCAAGTGGTTTATTAAAAATGTAATACAAGTATGTATATATATTTGTATGTATATGTGTATATATATAGAGAAATAAGTTTACAACCAAAACTAAGCAAACCCTAAGCAAAGTGTTTATGAGAGTACATGGTATTATTCTCTCAACTTTTTTGTAGATTGAAAAACTTCCCCCAAGAAGTGGCAAAATAAAATAATGTAAACAAAGGCCACTCCAAAAAAAGTGGGTCTGAAACAAT